CTTCTATTATGATACACGTAGGTATGTTCATAAATTGAATCATAAATTGCGCTTAATAGTCGGTTACGGGCTGGTTTTGCGCTATCATAGTAATTGGTTCTGTCTGTGTTGTGTTTTGTTTGTGTTCTACAGTGATTGTTATTGGATTACCATTAGATCACTCATAAAAAAAACACAATTAATATTGCTATATTGTTTTTCTTATCAAATATGTAGATTTTTTATGAAATATCATTTGACATTTAATTTTGACATTATTATTTATGCATCGGTAAAAAAGTAACTAATCTTGTTATTTCTCTTGAACACATTTATTGTTGTATAACAGTTAAAATAATTTGGGTACATTGAAAATTTTTATAGCTCTATGCTTTTCCGAAAATGCAGTCTAAAATGTAGACAAAAGAAAAGGTATTGATGATAATTTTCTGTAACCAGTACAGTAAAGAAGAATCCTAACTTTTCTGTCCCGTTTCACTGTGTTTAAGGTAGGTGTCTAACTTGACTTCTATGAGCTTACCATGAGTTTATGTTAGGTGTGCTCGCTAGAAACTGCGTAAAAAATACATTTAATATTTAACAAATTGTACAGCGCCCCTTGCGGCTACTTTCGAGAACTACAATTTTTGACGCACTACTAGCGAGCACACGTAACGTAAACTCATGGTAAGCACCCTGTCCTATTTCTAAATTATCGTCTGGTATTCGTATACGTATGACTATTGATAATTTAAACTGTGTGCTTTACCTACTTGTATAATATTATTATTTTACTTCAAACTTGAACTCTACAACAAAGTATTTGAAAGAAGCCACAAACTACGAGTAGTATGAAATACTTTATTCCAATTCTGATTCGCGTGTTTTTCGTCTTTATCGCCGGGTGGTCGGAACACTGTGCATCGCATAAACAGTGTTATCTTCAGTGTAGGAAGCAATGCGGCTTGTTGCAGAGAAAGCTGAAATTGTTGGTGTTCGCGTAAAAATATTGCTTTTACAAACATTTTGCTACTACGTTTATTAAAAAGAAAAAAAAAAGAAAGCTATATTTCACTCTGATTTAGGTCTAGTTTTTAAAATCAGACGAAAAGGTTTTTAATTTTCTTTAAAGGTAACTTTTTGCAGCTACTTGGAAGCTCTTTGTCCAGCCGTGGGCGACGGTGACGTTCGTTTCAACGAATGAACTTGAAGAATTCCTAAAAGCAGATTTATCAATTTTATAAGATTATTTTATTACCTCTAGGGGTACCTCTACATTACCTGTTTTAGTGTTTTGTGTTAATGTTACTGAAAGTAACCTTGAAGTTACCAGCTGCCTTGAAAAATAAATTCGTTCGTTCGTTTCAGCCAAATGACGTCCAATGTTAGACAATGGCCTCCCAAGGAATTCCACAACTATCGGTCCTGCGCTGCCCGCATCCAAGTTCTTCCAGCGTTATCGTTAACGTTCCAGCCTAAGTATAGCTTATTGACCCTATGAAGTATTGATTGTTGACTTAGTTAAGCTTTTAACTCCACCCTACATCTTCCACCTATTGAACAACTTGAATCTTACGAGTCGCCTTCGACACGCACCGGCGAGTTTTGGCCCGCCTGCATGAAATGTTCGCGACCGCTGTATTTTTGCATAGATATCGATTGTTGACTTAGTTAAGCTTTTTAATGTCTTTTTAACATCTCCCTCAACCTGTGCCTTCACCTATCGAACGACTCCTGNAACTGCTGACAACTATATCACGAGGAGTTCCTGCGGGAGCGAATAGTTGGATCTTACAGTCGCCGTCGACACGCACCGGTGAGTTATGGCCCGCCGGCATAAAAGGTTTGCGACCTCTATGTTTTTGCATACATATCGATTGTTGACTTAGTTAAGCTTTTTAATGTCTTTCTAACATATGCCTCAACCTATCGAACGACTCCTGACAACTATATCACGAGGAAGTTCCTGCGGGAGCGAATAGTTGGATCTTACAAGTCGCCGTCGACACGCACCGGCGAGTTATGGCCCGCCGGCATGGAAGGTTCGCGACCTCTTTTGCATAGTAGGCTTAGTACAAACGATTGATTAAATACTAGCTACCTATTTAATAATATATTGAAATTACTATGGCTGAGTTGCACCATCTTATTTTAACTTTGACAAACGTCAAAAATCTGTCAAATTGCATACAAAAAGCACCGTGTAAAATAAGGTGATACAAACTCAGCCAATGGTTTAAAATTTAGGTGACTGATTTTCTTGCGCTGCTTCTTTTTAGCACTGTCCCGAAGCAGTGGTAGGTTAATACTGGGACGCTTAAAAGCGCTTTTTAAAAGCCTACTTGCAAATATAAATGAGCTTTATGAGTTTTTTTGGAATTGATGAAAAATGTTTACGCCCTCTGACGCATCTGATAGAAAACCTGTTATCAAAGCAATCTTTCAGCGCATGTGACTACACAAGCATGTGTTTTGGAGTTATGAAATTCAACAAGGTAATTTTACAGGGCTTTAGTTAATTCACTTTCTTCAACATAATTATGAGTATTAACAAGTGCTATCTTTCTATGTATTAGGACCTTTACGATTAATTAAACACCTTAGTTCGCTGATCTATATACTTATAATAAATCTGTAGAGAGGTCAATTCTGTACATGAAATATATTTTCAAAATAACTATCAGGGGGTGATTAGTGATCGATACTGATGCCAAAAATGCAATCAGTAAAATTTTTGTCTGTCTGTCTGTCTGTCCGTCTGTCTGTCTGTCTGTCTGTCTGTATGTTCCTTATAGAAACAAAAACTGCTTGACGGATTTTAACGAAACTGGGTACAATTATTCTTCATACTCCTTGGCAGGTTATAGTATACTTAGGAATTCCCACGGGAACGGGAATTAGCGGGAAAATCCTTTTGTATGAAAAATCTAAACCGCTTAATTTAGACGCTTGAAATTTGGCATGCAGGTACCTTAGTAAATGTAAAGCTTAGTTACAACAGGATATTGCAAAATTCCCACGGGAACGGGAGTTAGCGGGAAAAAACATTTGTATGAAAAAATCTAAACTGCGTAAGATAGATGAAGGGGGTAAAACGGGATCCACGCGTACGAAGTCGCGGGCGGCCGCTAGTATATAACTAAAACTGAAACTACGACTTGTGTGGGATAGGCCTTATAACTGAATTTTACATTTTAATAACAAAGCTGCGTCATACACGAACATATTGTGTGAAATAAAATTTTCTGCCTTAAACGTGTTTAATATCAACGATTCAGTTACTTCGTTAACAATAAATTACTTGTCAGAAAGCAATTTTAAATTTGCGCATAGTTTGAATCGAACAAAGATTCAAAGAACAAATATTCACCAATAACAATCCAATTTATAATAATGTAACTCATGGTCTTTGTACAATTTAATAAAAAATATCATGCCTACATTTTAAATTGATTTAAATTTAAAATCTGTACCAATTATTCTTTAAAATGTTTAAACATTAAAAAAGCTTTCATTCACATGGACTTCTACTGTAAATTTAGATTATCCCGCCTATTAACTTCTCAAGTATTTTACAGAAGTGACTCTTCTTTCATCGGGATTTTAAACACGTGCACCTGTTTGGAGCCAATTAAACGTCGGCAAGGTCACATCCAATCTACATCACAGAAACAATACTATTTCATCTGTTTCCCGGAACGGCACATCTGTGCTTGTCTTTATCTGTGACATCTACTATAAGCCACAGTATAGCTAAATGTAGTAGTTTAATTCTGAAGGTTAAAGAAAATAAGAAAATTGATGATTTCCAACAGCAAACTTAACATTAAACCACTACTAGTTTCTAGCAGTTTTAATACGCTATTTCACTGCAATATTTTTGTATCATCATCTACCGAAAAAAATACTAAATTCTACCTCAAAGACAACACATAATATAAATAAAGGTAATGCCTATAAAATAATATAGATATGGCTTAAATACTTTACTTTCTCTATACATTTTATATAGGGTGGAAACGATAAGTGATCTTACTCGATTATTATAACTGGTTACTGACCCTGAAAGTGCTTCAATAAGAGATTTTTAATGCGATATTTGTCAATAGTGTCTTAACTGTTATGTATCAATAATATCTTGAGGAATTTTCAAACATGAAACTGTTGCCTGCGTCACCTGTTGCACTATTAGCAGGTTTTTCGAGAAGTTAACCTACCGCTGTAACTTATACTATGGTACAAGCTGCTGTTTGCATGTGTCGTATTTGTCCGTTGTCTTTTTGTCTAAAGGGCAGAATGTTGTGGACTATTCTTGGCCTTTTGAATGAGAGTATGTATCGAGGAATGAGCCACTAGATCTATGATAACATACTTGTACTATCTATGCATGTATTCGTTCATTTTTATATGAAGGAACATCTATGATGGGCAGCAGTTTATGGTTAGTTTTCTTCAAAATAATGACTTGATTATGAATAGCCAAGTTAGAGCCTTAAATTAAAAAGAGATTAACCCTTAAAAAGGCCAATTCACGCTAAATACCAGAAGGTGAGGATCCGTCAAATCACACGTCCCGATGACGGAGCATTTCCCCGTCATTAAGAGACTGGTGAAAAAAGACTTCGGATGTTCACTTGTAAGCGCCCGCCAACAAAGCCATTATGCCTTATTATGGACACCATCCATCAGCCAGTCATATCGATCTGACATTAATGCATGCTAATGCTTTATAAATAGATATATAATTTGTTTTGTCTCCACCTCGGCAACCAATTGATGGATTGTCTTACTTCTATTACGTCAAACTGTTGGTTTTCAACGGAGGCGTGGTCACGCCCGGCGAGTTAGTTTAGACGAGGAAGCCGAACTACTTTACGATTTCACGCCGCCACTAAAAAAGGTGTGAATCGAGCCGTTTATGAAATTGATTGTCTTCGCGTCAAGAAATTCATTAAAAATACCGCTACGCATAAATTCCACTGCGAATTTGATAAAGGTTATAAAATAAGAAAAATACTCACTCTGTCCTAGATGCACTCGCTTCATCCACGGGTATATCTGCGGCGGATTAGCTTGCGTGTTCGAAGCCGATTTTGAATTCTTGTTGGTATTTGAACTAGAATTGTTGGCCTCGTTGCTATCGTTGCTCGACGTACTCGAAGCCGGGCTGGAGATGTTTTGATTCACGTTAGCTTTGTGCTCCACTGGCGACGCAATGGGCGTAGTCAGTCCGAGTTTGGTGCTTGTACTTCCACTAGAGTTTTGTCCGACAGTCCCGAATCCAGGGGACGTTCTCCCCGGCCCAGAGGATGTGGACAAGTCCTGGGGAGATGCAACTCCAGTAGTGGATGTAGAGTCAGCGAATTTACAGCTAGCTCCAGCGGCTTGGCTGGACGGCGTGGACATGAGGTTCGGGGATAGCGCACCAGGGCTCGGGTTCGAATGCTGATGCAAATGGCTCGCGGTACTGCCGAGTCTCTGCGGATGTAGTTGAGTGTAATCGATCATCGTTTGCGGTTGCATGTGAGCTCCACTCGCGGGTGTCGCGTACGGATGTTGTGGGTAATGATGGCCGACCTGGGGCGGGGAGTAGCAGGCATTCGGGTAAGCCGACGCCGCGGCATTTGGATTGTAATAATCCGCCCCTGGGGTTGGTAGTCCAGGGTGCCCGGACTGCTCAACCGGCGTACCGGTGCGCCCTGGGGCCTGGTTCCCATAGCACGAGGCGAGGGAGTTGACGAATTGGTAGGAGCTCATCCCTGCGTTGTAGTTTAACTCGTTCATCGATAACAGTGTTGTGTGTCCTCTTTCTCAAGTTCAGTCGGCGCGTGTCATCGCTCGGACGAGCTCTGAATGGGCTAGTTGGACATGTTAAGTGCTGATGCTGCCCGCTTCAATTGTCCTCGGGAGTGGGGCTTGATTGATGGTCCTGTGATAAAATGAGACACATTAGTTGGTCAAGAGCGTCGCCTCGTTATTGGTGATGAATGTGGTTTTACAGATAATAGAGCCGTATTTCATTTTGCGTGCATTGAAAAAGTGGCGAATTGAAACTGATATTAGGTTTGCTGGCAATTTAAGTGGATAATTGAATTGCAATATTAATTGTCTATTAGGATGGTGTTTAGAGTGTCACTGTAATAGATGTAAAGTTTTTGAATATCATTACTTAGTTTGCAATAGATAGTAAATGTCTTGTCGGTCCATTTAAGGTTATTCATTTATTAAGCATGAAATTGATTTCTAATTAACTTCAAATCGATTTATCTTTAATCTACTTCAAGATTGTGCTTCTCAAATAAATCCAGTTACTAGTGCCAAATAATAGTGTGTAATAACTACTTTAATTTGTTTATCATAAAAACACTGCATAAACCAATAACTATTTTAAAGGGGGCTCATCAAATAAACGCGTTTTATTACCATACGTTTATGGCAATTACCGAACAGCTATTAGACTACCGCCGGGGGTCTATTCTAAAACAATAAATTAATTTCGGGCGGTCTAAAGCGCGGTGCACATGTCAAGACAAGTGCGGAAAAAATCCCGACACGTGGTTGAGCCATAAAAGTGTCCACGAAGCTTTATGGTGTAAGCGGTAGGTTTTGGCTCCTTCGATTTATGAACTCGACTTCTTGTAGCGATGTGCTGAACACTTTAAAATCGATTTACTCGATTATGACGATTTCGTTTGAATTTATGTTTATATAATCACAATTAAACAGGTTTTAATTTAATATTTTGTGGTCGTCAATTAATTAAAGTATTTTAAGGTAGATCAAGGTGACTTCTCTGATTTATGAGCAACCTGTCTTTGTAATATGTAATTTCAATGAACCGAGAGTTTCTGTTTTTAATTTGATTAAGTATTACATAATTACTGTTTTGTCTGTTATTAGCTGAAACATTATTATAACAACAACAACAAGCACAAACTCTTTCAAAATTGTTACAAGGCAGTCAAACCTTTTCACGCCATTCAAAATAATAATGTACTTTGCCTGAAGTTTTATTTACAAAAGAAGCTCCCAAATGATAACATTATACGAGTATTGCAACATTTTACAAAATTTATATTATAGCCTACAAGGCTTGTTAGTGATAGGTCGGAAATTATAATCTAGACCTAAAAGTTCTACAGTTCACAAACCTGGAAAAACTCAAGTTTAATTGATTCTCTATCCACAAACCTTGAATTTATGAGTTTACCATCTATTTATTTTAATATGTCAAAGTTGAAGCCATTTTTTAAACGTTGAGGAATTCAACTCGACTGATTTATTGATTCCGGTAAAACCATTTTTGGTAGCAGATGAAGTGTGACTGTCTTTTTTAAACTTCAGGAAATTTTTACTGCGACGACTTTTGCTTCTAATTTTATTCAATTTAAGACAATGTCAATTTGACGAAACGTACCTGATTTAAACTTAAAATTAAACGACTGATAAACACTTTTTAATCGAAAATTTATTATTTTGCTGTCAATCATCTTAGGTTGCATGAAACTAAAATATTTTAAATAGGTAAGTACTCTGTGATCATTGCATCAAAATATTATTTTGATTTAGCTTGAATATTGAATCATGTGATATAGGTAATCTCTTCTCTAAACAATAATCTGTTTTACTAAAGCTATATATTTTATATTACCTCTATTATAATAGTTATTACAAGCTTTACTGTAGAGTCAGCTCTAAATACATTTCCTCAATCTCGAGTCATGATCCTTCCCGATTACGACTTCTCGGATCCGCTTAACATCACTAGCTGAATGCGACTTCACCAATTTATGAAGACCACCAGTGCATACATCTTTTTGAGCAAATTAGCAGTCATTGTGCTCGATTTATTCGACGCGCATCGCGTGATGAATGTGAGAATTCGAATTTTAAAATTCAACGCGATGCGATTTTGTTATTTTTCTGGATTTCTTATGCAACGGTGCAGTGCGTTTTGCATTTATTCGAGACATTCGTTTTACACGTGTTATGTTTCATTTTTTTTGTGAAATGTTAAATTTATGGCCTGATATTCAATGACTTTAGCCATTATCTGCGGTCATAGCACGTCACCTATGCGAAAACATAAGCAAACTACACTTACATTTTAGTTAATTTTGTTTTAAATTAACACTTAATTGAATTAATTTAGCTAATTGAATTAGAGAAGTTGTTTTGAACAAAAGCAAAAAACAAGCATCAATTTATTAGTCATCGGAAACTTTTGTTCTTTTTGTTAGAGCAGTTTTGAGTACATTGTATGACATTCTCCTGGTTATAGTTTAGTAGAGAAAAGCAATAAAGAAATACACACTTATCTTCATAACATTAAAGATACCTATGTATGTTTTGAACGACAATAATAATAAGTAAGATCTAACTAATGGGACATAAATATTATGCCCGTTAATCATTGGTTTTCTTTCTTTTCTATTTTAAGTTACTATCTGAATCTAAACATAAATTATGATTCTCGATTTGGCAAATCTGTTTAATAATCATAATGATGCTATTAATCACAACATTTATTTTTTCAAAGTACTCGTAGGTAATATAGTACAACATTTTTATTTATCTATGCGGATTAAAACACAATATCTAGGTTTAGGTAATATTTACAACCAAACCAAAAGTAAATAAAAAATCTGTACACTGAGAAGTCGAACAATAATACGTTAGTCTTTTTTACTAAGGCAGGTAATATCTAAATCAACTAAAATAAAATATTAGCTATCAGTAGATTACGTAGATAAATAATTTTCAGCACTTTTCATCTACTGAAATTATTTTGACAGTCGCAAACTGCAAGGAAACGATTAATTACATATCCCTTTATATTCATCTGCAATTCCTTATTATGTGCTTATGTTCAAAACAACCGTCATTGTTGTTCAACACATGTGCCAGTTATTTCAGTTCAAAATTTTGTCACTCCCGTCCGGTGCGCACTAAATGGCCCGTGCGATTCGGCTGCGGTCGTTTTTCCCTCTTTTTCCTCCGTGTATTCCCAGACATCCTTTGATGACGTTTTGGGCGACGACTTTAATTTTAATTCGGTACTGTGATAGCTTTTATTGCTTTGTTTTGTGCGTTCTATTTGGATTTTGAAATTCGAATTTAGAATGTAGAGTTGAGCGCGGAAAGTTTTGCGTCGCGCCGAAGTCAATTGACTTTTCAAATTGAGAACTTTTTGGTTTGAAAAACAATTAATAAGAAAATTTGTAAAAACTTTTGAATTGCTTACATAACAAAACAATTATCTCTTGTTTTTCCTATTCCTAATTGATTTGGCTCTATTATTTTTACTGAACTTTAAAACTCCACCAAAGTTTGCAGAAAATGTTTTATTTATCTACAATGTCTTGTCTTATTTTCAGATTAGCTATTTCAAACGATTCTAAATCAGAAACTCTCGGTAATTATTCATATTTTAATAGCCGGTGATACGGAAAGCTCAGGATATAATAACATTTAATGCCCCGTGACAAGTGGACACTTTAAATCCACAGAGTTCAGGAGATTTACTGCGACACGCTTTGATTTTACGACATTCGCCTTTTCAATTAGGACTGTGTCAATTGAAGATGATTTTCAATAGGTTTTTAATAGACTTATAATTTGACAAATAAAGTTTTTAAATAAAAATAAGTTGTTATACTTACTCCAGTAATATTTTAAAGATTGACCAAAAGTCTGAACAGCAAACAATACATAAAATCACAACCGATAGAGTCGAAAAAATCACTATTATCCCACAAGTTTATTTCATACACTTTCACCTCAACAACAAAAAACAAAATACTTTTTCAAACTAAGCAAACCTTAACGGCCAGTGTGAAAAAGAAAAAATCGAGCGCGTTCGAATTCCGAAAACTTCGGCGCGGTTCGTCGCGGCGGAAAACGTTGTTTTCCCGGCGTTCCGGCGTCGAGTGCAGCGCGCTTCTGACGATGAGGTGAGCGGTCGCGTTGACGCGCGTCAAGCGAGCGGAGCGGAGGGCGGGGGGCGGGGCGCACCTGGGCCGTCTCGCCACGTGACGCGCCCGCTCCCGCGCCCGCTCCCGCTCCCGCTCGAGCGATCAGTAATTAGGTAGGGCCGCGAAACGTCACGTATCCGATTTCAATGGGCCGATTGATGATTATGGATCGTCGATTTTTGTTTTGGTGAAACGATTATCGGAAGGCTACGGTTTTCCTTCCGATTACGAGTTTCTTGAACTTCAGTCTGTAAGAACAAGGTAAGTTACGGAATTGATTTGTTTAAATAATTTATTTATTTTTAAATAATATAAATTCTTAAATAAATCCTATAGGTAGGCATTAGGCCTGCGTGTAACGTATACATGTAATATAATTGTCATTAATGTTCTTGATTTCCAAATATGATCTTTGTAATTAATTTTGTATTTTTTATTATTTTTAGTTTAAAGATAGTCTTAAGTCTGTTAAAACTATGCTCTACAATGAATCTCCAGTAAAGAATGGATTCAAGTTCGAGATTGATCTGAATACTGAAATTCAGCCAAACGCAGCCTTGATGTTTTGCTCGAGTTAGATTTATTTTGCACGTCCTTTCCGACTACGAGCCATAGTAGTCAGACCTGAAATGAAACACATCTTTCAGATCATACTCATTAGATCTAGGCACACAATAAAACTTTTCAGTAGTGTTTTTCGTTCGTTCGTTCGTTTCAGCCAAATGACGTCCACCGCTGGACAAAGGCCACCTCCAAGGTTTTCCACAACAAACGGTCCCTCGTTGCCCAAAGTGTTTTATGTTAGGTATTATTAGTAGCTTTATCTAAGAAGAAAGACCTTTACAGTATGAGTTCGGATTTTAATACTAATAATAAATTTCCACTTCTAAATTATCCACTGAATTTCAAAATCATGCTTATCATTGACAAATGCGCCATCAACACACCCCTCAATTTTAATACTGCACTCAACTCCTTGGACACATTACGGCCTACTTACCTTATAACAAAGACTGCGTATTAATACACACACAGACGTCAAAAGCGGTCATAACTCTTCATAGGGACGCACTTAGTCCAAGTCTAGAATGGCGGACACGGGACATGCATCAGTATGACGTGACGTCTCGAGGGCCGTAAAAATTGCACGCTCTAAAATATTGCTAGATTATCTGTTTTATAATTATGGTAATAAAACGGTCAGGGAACTAGTGTTTAAAACAAAATTAACGGACTTTTAAAAATAATGGATGTTCTTTTAGTGAATGACTTAAGAGTGCAGCCTGTGCAGCGATTTAGTAGGATCCCTCCTAGAACTTGCTAGTAATAGTCCCCTATTACTAGCAAGTTCAATAGGGATCATATTATACCATGGCTGAAAAGTATGATTTTTACCATCATGCAGTCCTAATAAAGCAATGTTTTCATTGACAGAACCTGATAGATAGGTATAATGAACTTACATGAGAGTTGGAGCCCTAATTCGACTTCCACTGGCTCTCCTCTGTGAAAAGGCCCCTAAGCGCTACCTTATTTCCTACTTCAATAAAAGTGCCAAATCTTGGTCGATATAAAAAGAGTTTTCTTAGTAGATTGCAAGATTGTAAAGTTGTGTAATTGTGAAAAAAATAATTTTTCAGTCCAATCTGAACTGCCAGAGAGTAGTCGAATCTGGAAAATGTGTATTTGATTTTCTTTTTAAAAAACCTATAACTGTATACAAAGTTCCATTGAACTTAAATCTAAACTGAGCAATTATTATAAATACGATTAAAACATTAGAATGTATGAAGCTTTCTAATTATAAAATTAAAATAATTTCCTAAATAGAATCACTGATTTCAGAGATTAAAACCACTTACAAGTAACTTTAAAATAGCAGAGATAGCAATATAACTGAACAATAGCTCTTAAAAATATTTTGATTGCGGCAAGTAGTTATCAGGAGCACTGTTAATCAGACTTAACGACTCGCATTTGTCTTACAGCGCTTAATTATAATTAAGTGTTAATTACTGGTACATTCGGCTTCAAACAGTTCGTGACACCCAAAGTGGCCAAAAAGTTGACAACACAACCTTATTCCAATTGTAACAAAGACGTATTGCGAACTTTTTGGTTACTTTTAGTGTACCGAACTATTTGACACGGACTGTACCTACTGAGGAACCGCGGTGACTGATTGCTGCCTGTGTGATTTTTATTGTGGACTTTTTGGCAAAAAGTACCTACTGTTCTCATAATTAGAGTACAATATTGGCTCTGGTAGCTAAACTTTTTGCTTCTATAATTTGATTATGACTTGGTTGCCTGATTTCCTCAGAAGGTGGTGGGATTAATCTCTTATAGTATAAAAAATGGTTACATAAAATTGTGGTGTGTGTGTGTGGACTTTTAAGTGCTCGTTTTTTCGGAGTAGGCAGTAGGTAAAGTTGACGTCGTAGTCAAACTCTTATACATTTTTGACTTAGACTAGCAACTGTAACTGCTGCTTTAATTCATCGTTATCAGTACTTTCTGATTTGATTTGATAATTTGTCTTACATAACGAAAAAATACAGGTTTTCAGTCAGTTTTCAGTAATCAGAGGTCTTGAAGACGTATAATGTGGTAATACTGTAGGACTCACGCCTGTTTGATGGACTGAAGATAGTGGTGGCAGTGGTTCGATGATAAAATTGGGTTCTGGCATGGACAGTGGACTGCATGATGTTAATTTTAGCGACAACAAAAAGCAACTCAAATTGAACGACCATTGTTTATAGTATGATTTTAAAGGGTTGATACTGTAATGACTTAGGTGACTCTACAAAGTTGAGCTTTCTTCGAACAAGATCTTACACAGTAATGGCCAAAACTTTTACGACATTTTTTATTAAATTCAATAGATGGCAAAGAAAACGTAAGCATTTACATAAACATAACAGCCAGTCATTTATTAGAGTCTGTTGCTTGAAGAAATGGCGCAATAAGAAGTGGTGACAGATTGGAATGGCGCTACTTAGTAGTGGGGAAACATCTTTTTTAAGATGCCAGTTGAAGATTTTGGCCATTGCACAAACCTCAACCTAGTGTAGTGATTAAAATTGATACTTGTCGTAGAGTAAAGTACTCGTATACATTAGTACTCTAGGTAAAGTATACGAAGTTTTAAAAGTCTAATTCAAATTGTTTTTATTGTGAATGTCCGTGATTTCTCATTTAATCTGATCTTAGATGTACCTGAATTTCTGATGATAATGAAAGAAGTCCGTGTTTAGTAAACCTTAAAGCTATATCAGAAGCCTGGAGAATTAGTACTTTTTACTATGCTGTGACGATTTGCCCAACGATGTTCAATGGTTTTTTTTATAAATGAGTGATAAACGTACTTTTGTCTAATTCATTTTTGGTGTATTAAAAACTTATATTAAAATAAAAAAATACGCAGACTGTAATCGATTTTTGTAGAGCAACTGACTTGATCCAACCGTCAATCGAAACCGGATGCTGCGCTTTAGACGTTTCAGCGCTTCAGTCTACTGCAACTGTATCGTAGAGCTTTCATCTTACTTACTTGTACGTACATCTAACTTTGTACATAAATATTTACAAAATATCAAATAACTGTTAATAGTTACTACATTTCATTGTGTATGTTGTTAAAAGAAGTAATAATTGGAATCAAATTATTAAAATTACCAAACCCCAAATATATTCAAAAGATCGTCGATTTCCCAAAAGACAGCTCCCTGTCCCGCAGTCTCAAAATTTATTACGACTTAATAATGAGTCGGTCACGCGACAGACTCGCACATGTTACCGACACATAAGTCAACTAATCCAACCACCACCTTACCATTCAACGTAATTTACGACCTAAGGGTTACCTCCGACATCTCTTTCTCACCCCACCAAAACAAGCAGGACGAAACACAAATGTTTATTTAAAAATCGTTTATTGGTATTTAATTATGTCCATAGGCTCCAAACGGGTTTATTTTTTCAACTAAACAACGACTATGGAATTCTGAAAATGTTTGTAGTCGCTGATAAATTTCTTATAGAAAATTTATTCGTTGGAAACTTTGTCGTTAGTATGCCATTTTGGACAGTTTACTAATCGGTTACAAGTTACATTTGCATCGTACAATGATTCCTTAAAGAGGTTGTAGCTTTTAGAAATGCATTGCGGTATTTATTAATTCTATGTCGTGTTTTACAAATAGCATTATTGAGTCGTCTCCAATCGATTGACTTTAGCGTTGTATGAAAAATATCTAATGTCATATCGACTAGATTTTATTAAATGAAACGAAACTTAAAAAGTAGTTTTTACCTAGTTATGACACTATTGTTTTGATAAAAATCGCATAAATTTAACAGAAAAGTTTAATCGACAAAACAATTTAAGTAGAGCGACGTAATATGTCATTCATATTTTAGGACCCAATGCTACCAAATGCGTATGCAACTACCTACTAATTAATTTTGCATGAATTACTTATATCAAATTAGTAGTTGCATACGCATTTGGTAGCATTGGGTCCTAAAATATGAATGACATTAATACTAATTTGATATAATTCATCCAAAAATAATTAATAGGTAGTTGTATATTTCTTCTGAATTTACGCAAATGTGGAACATTATTAACATCGAAGTGTTAATTTGTGCAAATATTATTTAGAATCTGACATTAAATTATGTGTTTGACACCTCTAATAGATATTTGTGTCAGTATTTTCATGGTCATTTAATCAATGAGCTGTCGAATCAGCGCTCTACATAACTAAATAATTAATTTTAATATTTTAATGATTTGCCAAAATGGCTCGTTCATGTAACATTGTAAAGGTAAATCGCAACATTTAATATAACGAAACATAGATCAATCTATTACTTCACTTATTCTTGGGACCTGATATAAATTAGAGGAATTGGTAGAGCATGTTGATCCTAGATATCCTTGGAATTG